ATCATTAAGATATTTGAAAACTAATTCTCTCCAGTGCTTAGGTACAGGTACTTTCTGAGGAAAGGAAATAGAACACCACTTCCACACTCTCTATCTTAAGAGCTTATGTTATTAAAAAAGAATAAGATAATTTCTGGTAACCAAAATTGCCTCTTCTGACACTAAAACTAAGCATATCTTTCTAGCTCAAAGAAGGAATGCAGTCATTTGTAATAAACTGTTGCTTTTCCTGAGGAAGAGATATATGCAAAGTGATTTGACTCCCAGGGGGAAGAATTTTTTTCAAGGAAACAGGAATTTGACTTCTAATGATGAGGATGCCAAATTCGGGTAAGTGGTGATGAGTTATTTTAAAGATAAAAAAAGGAAAGATACTCACTGGTTATTTTTACATTTATAATAATGTAAACTAATAATATTCCCACTTTACTTTTGAAATTACAATTTAGACATATACAAATAAAGTTTTATTGAAGTCATTTTACAAATAGTAGAAAATCATCCTGTCTTGTTTAAAGGTGATTTAAATATTTTCTCTTAGATTTTAATTTGAAACTATTCTTTCAATTTCCCTCATTCAACACCCTTGATAAGTTCCATAACTAGTTCAAATGTAAACAGCAGTCAGTTTTAAGATCTATTACTAAAGAATACCAAGATAGAGAGGTACAAATCGATGGAGCTTTACTGAAATAATTTAAGTGCAGATTACAGATATTGAGTTGTATATATATACCTTTTACTTTGTTTTTAGTCTCTGATTGTACATTTTTCAGTTTGCCTACAAACAAAAACAGAAATAAAAATGGTCACATGAGGAAATTAGAATATAGGACACAGTATCGAATCAAATCCATTTCATATTACCTTTCATTTTCTGTGGCAATTCACTTGTTTCAATTTCCTCTGAATCACTGCTTTCAGTGTACTGGACAGCAATTTTTCTTCTAAAATTAAGCCAATACACATTATTTGTCAACCCAAAACAAAATGAGATATAAAAATATGTCTAATAAATGCAACACTAATGTTTTGTCCTGCTCCTGCTTATTTTTTGAAAAAAATTCAAGGGAAACTTTTTATTTGACAAATGAAAGTTGAATTTGTTAAAAGCAGTTGCTTTCCTAATCGATGCATTCACTATACAAAATAAAGTACCATTATTAAAATAAATTTAAAAAGTAAACCAATTTAAAATAGTAATCATTTCAATACTGAGTTCAATTCAATTAAAACTTGCATAAAATTAGAACAAAAAAGAAATGAAAGAAATGACTCATCAAAGAAAACACTTCCAATACAATGAAATAAGCAGCTAAAAGGCAAAAATATAATTCTTTCACAATGAAAACTTCTGTAAATTTTCTGTAGAAACAGTACAGTACAGTGGCTAAGTGCCTAAGAACAATGGGCTCTGGAAGTCAGACTGCACAGATGTGAATCCCCATTCTGCCACTTACTTGTTGTGTCACCTTAGGCAAAATATCTAATATTTTTCTATGCATCAGTTTCCCCATTTAGCAAACAGGAAAAAAGATACATTCCGCTTCATAGGATAAAATGTTAGTACATACAAAGCCCCTAAAATAGTGCCTATTGCACAGTAGGCATATGTGTGTTAGATGTAATATGTGTGTTGGTTGTTGTTTTTAGTTTTACCGTGTCTCATTATTATTATTTCCATGTCCTTTAATCTGATCTGGTCCACCTAATAGTGCTATTAACCAGTCTCAGGGTCAGTTCAGAGTTGTAAGATTGGAGATTTAGATGAGAGGGAAACTGATGAGTCCTGGTTTTGTGCTCAGTTGGGTTTTAATCATAGATAACAATTAACAGTGCTCAAATTTTGAGATTTCTGTTGGTGAAAGAACTAACAAACTCATATTTGAGGTTAGGCAAGCAGATACTGATTGGTAGACAAAATACCACAAAAGCCAAGTATTTCGATATACTTCAGAGGGCAAATAAAATTTATAAAGTTAACATATTCGTGTTGAGATTTGAGGGGCATTATGTGTTTTATTCAAATACTTCCTCTAGTCTACATTAATATAATACTCTCTGTTAATAACTTTATCATGTCTCATTTCCACTAAAGGTAAAGTGAGAAAGAACTGAGATGAGCAAAGAGTGCTTTTGTCAAGACATCCAATAAAAATGTCTGTTTTCACCTCCTCAAATTCATAAAGAAAACTCTTCTAAAGTTTCAACAAAAACAAAAAACCCAGAAGTTAGATCTTACTTCCCGTATAAAAGAAATAGGAAAAAAGTGATAGAAAGACAAGTGATCATTAAAAATTACCAATTCACTTCTTTATAGATTAATATTACTTTTCTTCACCTATAAAAGAAGAGCCCACCTGCCTAAGTCACAGTGATCTTGGCAGTTTCAAATAAAAGAATGTATTTGAAAGAACTATGTTACTCAGATATAATGTTCCTATCTCTCTCCTATAAATATAAAAAATGGAGAGTTTAAATAAACATATTACATATAATCAAACCATAACAGAGTTTACCTTTTGGAGCGGGTGCCAGACAATACTGACTTGGAATATTTATTCTTTCCCTTGACATCTGAAATACTGGGTTCTCCACTACATCTAGATCCTGCCATTTCAAAGAAAAATACAAATATATAAACCATTAGTAAATTGTCTTAGATTGGCAGAATCTTTCTTAAAACCTTGGTTTTCCAACTCAATAGTTTCACTTTCTTAATATCTTCATTTCTGCTCCTTTAGTCAATCAGCCAGCTACTCTACTAGTTTCTTAACCTAGTATTTTCTTACTAAAGAGTTCCTTCTATTATTGTACCCAGTCTTCCCCTTGTAGTCATCCAGCCAATCCCCACACTGGCTTAATTTTCTATTGTATCAAGGCAGCTAAGAGCTGCTGGAAAAAAATAAACAATAAATTGATTTTACTATAAATTTACATTTTCATCGCAGCTCTCACTTCATGTCACTTAGCAACTCTTTTATATAACACACAGCCTCCCTACTACTCGCTAACCAGAATGATCTATATACTACACACTGAATCCCTTGCCTACATTCTTAACTCCTTTTACTCCCAGAAGATAACATGATTCATCAGATGTCATCTTCTATAATTGTATACCATTTTATTCCCTCAGTTATCTATATTTTCCATAAACTACACTTTGTTTCTTTCTAATGCTAACTCATCTACCTATTTGCTTGATCTCATTTCCTTCCACAGGCCAAAAAACTATTCTCTCCATTGTATCCAAAATCTCTTCCTATCCATGGATTTCTTTCTTAAACCAAAAAAACAAAAGACAAAAAGTAAAAAATAAAAGCTCTCGATTCTGCATCCTGCTCCAACTATTTTTCTATTTCTCTCTCCTATCTCAAACAAACCAAAATATGTAATAACACACAGTTATTTCCAATTATTCATCTACTATTTTTACCTTAAAATATTTTCAATCTTATTCTGCTCTAACCAATCTTCAGAAATTAATATCGTAAAGGTGATTAACTACTAAATCCAACCATATCTGCTAAATCCAGAGATCTCTTTATTTCTCCTCTGACTTCAGAATTTGGTTCTCTTTATCTGCTGTTATCCATGCACATCACATTATAAATACCATAAACTACTCTGAGTTCCCAGAACAATAAGTGCTCTGGTTTTTTGTGTTTTTTGTGAGGTTTTTTTTGCTTTTTTTTCCTTGCTTTTTTACTGCCCTTCCACAAGATATTTTTCTCAACTAAAAATGTTCTTTCTCAGCTTCTTTACCACCCAGTTTCATCACTACCTCCTTGATGAAATTTTTCCTATCAGTCCTTATGAAATTCTTTAGAAAAAGAAATCTATAGTTTTTGTTTAGTACAAAGCCAAAGCTGGTATTACATAATTAAATTGGAAAAATCTAAATAAAATATTGAGTCATGTTTGAAATTAAACTTTACCTTTGAATAGTCCATCTGTCTTTTCACTGGTACTGCTTCCTTCAAGTTTCATAGATTCATCGTTAACATTACATTCCTGGATGAAAAAGCATATATCTTACATAGTACTGTTGTCAGTTTAAAATAAACTTAAAATGCATCTTTATTTATAATGCTTTATTTTACATAATAAAGATTATTTAAATTGTTACTCCATTCTAGAGTAAAGGAGAGAAGTGCATTAAGTGAAAAGGAAAAATATACAAATTGATTAAAATTTTTTTCACAGGTTCATAAAATAAAACTAGTTGGTCTTTACCTTTCAAAAGAAATACAAAAAGCAAACCTTAGTTATATATGGCATATTAGTTACTATGAGAAATATTCATAAAATGGGATTTACTTTAAAATTAAAAAGAATTCTCAGATGAATGGACCTTTAATGAGGTTGCCATTGCCATCCTTTTTCTCTCTTTCCTTACTCTATTGAAGATTTTCCTCTCAATCTTCTTCCTTTTCCCTTCACGTGTACCCTTTTGTTTCAAAATGCATCAATGTGTACATGAGTACAAAAACTTCTATAAAAGTAAAACTTTATACTTCTTTATGGAAGTATTTGTAACTGAGTCTAGTAGGGCAGGGTTCCTCCAATCTTATTTCTAATTCTTGATTGGAATCTGTAGATAGGAATGACAAATAAAATTGAGTTTAAATTAATTCTTGCAGTTTAAAAAGGAATGTAGGTGATCAAAACCTTAATCAGAATGGAAGTCAGGAGTGGCAGGCAGGAGTACAAAGTAATTTTTGCTGAGAATTAGGACTAATAAAGGATATCTGATTTTAGTTTTAAAAAAACTGAATTTTAAACATCTTATAAAATCCCATTAGAGTTAAGTTCTACTAAAAATATGATTGAAAGAAACATCCCCTTCAAATGGTATCAGAAAAAATAAATTAAAAATCCAAAATGTAACATTTTTAGAGATATGTAACTAGAAGAGTTATTTTAGATAATTAACTTTTTAAATCATTATCTCCAAGAAATTGATGTAAAAAATGCTTTTCAATCTTCTTTAATGATTAGTACAACCATTTATATTATATTAAACAGTGTGCAAAAAATAATCTAAAATTTTATCCACAAATAAAGAATGTCTTCTACATTATTTTTATATTAAATAATTTTGTTTAGGAAACTTTTTCTTCATACAATTCAAAGATAAACTTTGTACAAAGTCCAAACTATCAAATCATACTATACTCCAATCTAATGGAATTTAAACTGGTGGCATTTTACTCTGTAAGCTTATAATATCTAAATCTATTTGAAATACAGTGAAATTTTTTGTTGCAATAAACTCTAAGCTGAAAATCAGATTTTCAGCCTTAATTTCAACTAATGTAGCAAACTAAATATCCTAAAACCTTCCAACTACATAACACCTCAAATGCATGGCTGATACTGGGGAGGAAAGGGTAAGCTTTACTGATAAGTTTTAAATTGATAATTGACACAAAAGCTAAAAGCAATCTTAGGTGCTACTCTTTAGTTTTAATGACCAAATGTAAAAAGAAGAGGATGTAAAGCACTGGACTATTCAAAATAGGAAACTGAATCTCAGATGTTAACAATAGAGTTAAACTCCTAATAAAGGCATAAAGAAGGAAATGAAACTAACGGCAGAAATTAATAAAACAGAATCTCAATAAGCAGTGGTAGAAAATTAATGTGCAGCCTCTTTGAAATCTAAAAAATAAGAATAGCAGTACAGAAAAGTCCCATGAAAAAAAGATTTTTGCATAGATTTTTGCTTAGTTATTTCCCACTTTAAAGTTCTTTCAATTTTCAGCTGAGTATCAAGAATATTGTTTCATTCTAATCATTTTCCCATAAAATTAATTCATTCTTAATTCTTATAAATGGAATATAAATATATTAGGTGTATGTATGCTATATAAATATATATAAATTAAATATCAAGAAAAGTCACCCATATTCTCATCACTAGGACATAATTATCATTATTAACATTTTGGCACATAAAGTGTATATAACTACACTTAGACATACATTAATATATATTTACACAGATGTGTACCTGGACCATTTTTTAACTCAAAAAATATCATGAAAGTTTTCTTCAAAAATAGGATTTTTTGCATAATAATACTAAGTTCTATAGCTATATTATAATTTAACTGTTCCCTTACCAAGAGGTTTTTCTTTTCTGTATTTAAAACAACGCTGGGGGGAATAAAAATTACCAAATTGCCCTCAAGAATGTGGTCTGACTTTCACTCTTATCAACAACACATGAAAGGCCACTCATCACATCTTTGAAAACATTAGATATTATTAATTTTTTTGGCAACTTTTAATGACAAACATTTAACACTAATCCAGAGACTTCAAAGGAAACACTCACCTTCTTTGGTTGACTTTTTTTAACTCTTTCAACAGGAAGAGGTTTGCCATCATGAAAGTTGGTAAGAATTACTGCAATGGCTGTCAGAGTTTTGCCCTTTAAAATGTTTTAAAAAGACAAATGGTCAGATTCTTAAACTCAGTTGACCAGAGAATATTCCAAAACTAATTTTAAAATCAAGGAACCAATATCATATAGCATTTAAAGCCACAGAAGTGTATAGGTTATTTTATTAAATGGTATACATATTAATGAAAAGTATTTCATTAAGTTAGGAAATACTTTCCCACACTGCATTACTAGGAATTATTAAATGATTTACTCTTATAAAATACTATAAGCATCTCTAAGAAACGTTATTTTATTGAATGACTACTGTTCTAAGATTTTACATTTAACTCTGAACTAATAACTTTATCACAAAACTATAACTTCGTTTCCTGTTAATTCAGAGCTAATTTAAAATGATTAGGAATTCTAGTATGCACATGAGGTAATCATTTCATTAAATTTCATTTAAAGATAATTCCAACACTTAACAGTTATAACTTACCAATAATGTATAAAGAACATGATATACTTTGTGCATGTTTCTTAAATAAAAACATGCAGTTTTTTACTAATTTCCATAGCTGAATTTATAATGACCAACACAGAAATAGATATCTGGGAATTTTAAAGCAGTGTAAAGCAGTAGTTTTCAAAGTGTAGTCCACAGGCCCTAGGGGACCCCAGAATGCTTTCAAGGGTATATGTAGTCAAAACTATTTTCATAATACTACTAAGACCTTATTAGTGTTGACATCTGCAGTTATGCCACAAAATGCCATGGTAGGCAAAACTGGTGGTGCCTTAGCATGAAACAAAGTAGCTGCCACTACATCATAATAGTGGTTACTGTATTCTTAACTGCCACATACAGTAAAAAAAAATTTTAATGCCAATTTCACTTTAAGAATGTTAAGACTGTTCTTGATGAAGCAGTACACATTACTTTTATTAAATATTGCCTCTTAAGTACACACTTTTTAAATATTCTGTATAACAAGATGGAAGGTACACATAAATTACTTCTGTTATGTACCAAAATATGAGGGTTACCTAGAGAAATATCATTTGTGAAACCAAGTTGCAAGCTCAACTAGCCACCATGTATTGCCACACATCATCACTTTTTCATACATCACCTTTTTTACTTAAAAGAATGAACAACAACTAGTTATTCATTACTGAGTGGTAGAAAGTAAGGCTATCATCTTCAAGGAAAACAATTGACAGTATTTGTTGTTAATGATAAAATCTGAGCTTTCCAGCAAAAATTAAAATGTTGGAAAACTTGTATCTGACACTATGAGCATAGCAACTTCCCAAAATGTAAATGCCTAGTAAGATCAGCAGTATTATCAATGAATGTAAATTTTTGGTATCATTATAATGAAACGTATCAACATTTGATAGATCTGTGTAACTCAGTGAACTAATATTTTCCAAAAGGGCAATCAATACCTGATGCTATAGAATCATGCATGGGTAAAATATCATTCAATGTGCAAGCTACACCGATAGATTTTAATGAAACAGAATATATAAAGTTCGCTGATAATTTTTTTAAGTTCTACATTAAAACTATTAATCTCTAATAAACTAATACTTGCTTAATTTTGTTACTGTATCAAAGCAGAATATCTATGGTTACCTAAAAAGGCTATTAAAATACTCCTCCCTTTTCCAACTATAACCAACACACCATTTTATTAACAGATTGAATGAAAAAGCAGATATGAAAATTCTGATGTCTTCTATTAGGCCAGACACTAAAGAGATTTACAAAAAAAAAAAACAATGTTAGTCTTTTTATCAAAACTGCTTTTGTTTTTGGAATACTTTTCACTTAAAAATATGCTACTTCTATTAACAAGTAAAGTTTATTAACTGTTAATTTAAAATAATTAAAAATTTTTTTGTTTAATGTCTAATACTATAATTATTATAGATATATTAATAAATAGAACCCATGAAAACAAAGCTCTTTGGGAACTTAAAGGGTTACTTGAGACCAAAAAGTATAAAACCTGCTGGTGTAGGAAACATAAATGTATATTTAATATTCAGTGTATCACATTTGTGATAGACTACAAAAAAAAACTGAGAAACACATATTTCTATTATCACTAATTATTTTAATTGTATCTTAACCAAACAACAAAAAAAGCTCACCATTATTTTAAGTAAAAACCATAGGAAAAACTGTGTTCTACACTAAAAGTAAAATCTAGTACCAAACTGGCACCAACATATTCTTATCTGTATTTACTTCAAAATTATTTCTGTAAAATCATAATCACAAAATAAAACTGTATTAACAAAAGAAAAAATAATTACCAAACCCATATCATCAGCTAAAATTCCTCCGTGGACATTATCTGGTCGATCCTTCTCAGAAAAATTTGTTATTGTGTTATAGTATAAGTCACTTCGCTGTTCCCAGAATGGTGGAAGTTCTTTACTGTTTTCCCGTGAAACCATCCAAGCTAGAGCTTGTTTTTGATGTGGAAGCAATAGTGTTTCAATAGCCTACAAATAAAAGGAATGTAATAAATAGAAATATAATAAGCCCTTTCTCTCCCCCTCCTCACAAAATCTGGAAAACAGTTGATCTTATGACAAAAAATATATCACGTAACAGAATATTTTTAAATTCCAAATAGTTTTAAATAGAAAATACTGGTTCGGTACCTCAGCTGGTTCCATTTCATGAGTTTTATCATCTTCTTTTAAATCTTCAAACAATTTGTCAAATTCTGTTTTAAGCTACAATAAACAGCAATAAGAAATATTATAAAACAAACCAATTAAAGTAATTAAACTTAACTCACTGAGTTCAAATCATTTATTTAACTATAAAAATTGATTACCAAAAGGTACATAAATTAATTCTTAGAGATACTACACTGCTCATTGAAGGCAGAATAAATAAATGCTTTAGGTATAAGTAACTATGTTAACAGTCGACAGAATACAGAACAGAGATTTATAAATCCTGGGTTTCACTCACAGCTCTGTCACAAATAAACCTATATATAACTTTAGGCAAGACACTTAACCCTTATAGCCCTATATCTCATTCCTGTAAAATCAAAAGAATAAACTAGATTTACAGAGTCTCCAAGGTTCCTTCTGACATTGAAATTCTATGATTCTATTAGTTAGTTGTATTCAAACCATTCTGGCAGATCCTACCAGGTACATTTGACTTTTTTTTCAGTCAGTAAAATTTTACTTATTATTATTGCAATAAAGAACTTGCCATGTGCTATAAAATATTTGGATGATTTCAATCTTATGCTAATTTAGTTGGTTCTTTAAACTGATCTAGTCAAATTTTATAGCAATATATATATGTTACAATTACTTTTGTAAATTAGCACATGTATACACAGCAGTAGCCCGAAAGAAATCAGGCCAACTCTAAAAAGTTAAGAGAGGTAACCAGGGCTTTACCCACCAGACACAGGTTCAAACCCTTCGAATGACAAGCAGGGAAAATACAATAACTACAATTAGAATATAAAAAGGCTAGCAGTGATGGATAGAGACATTTTTTATTTAATTTACAGATTGATCTGCATTACTTTATTTTATATCCTTTTTTTCAAACTAACTCAGTATAACAGTATCCTGGATTACAAATTAAACAAAGTAAAAACTAAATTAATGCCAAAGATTTGGAATTAATATTTTTAGCACAGCATTTGCAACCTTTACCGAAAGGAAAAAGTTTCAAGCTTCAATTTTTATAAAATATTTAGACATTCTAAAAATTTCATGAAAACGTACTAAAACATTCCATTCATATACAGCAATGTATGTGTTTTAATATATGTATCAGTGTGTCTCCACACTTATATTCCTTATTACTTCTTTCTCCACACTTATATTCCTTATTACTTCTTTCTTTTTGCATTATATATTCTATTTATCCTGTTTCATTAACTTAACAACATATCTGAAGATAACTAATGCCAGCACATACATATTTATCTAATTCTTTTAAAACTCATTCTTCAACATTTAAAATTCACTTTTAGATTACAAAATAAAAGAAAAGCATACCTGTTCAGTTGTCATCTGTACTGCAGCATGAACTGGCATACTATAGCTTGGCCCAGCTCTTCCAGAGCCCCAACTGCTTTCCAAACTGAATCCTAAAGCTGTGATTTACAAAATGAAAAGAAAAAAAATCACCAAATGAAATAGACTATCTTTTAGTAAATAGCTTTTAAAACTTGAAGAATAAGCTGCATTAAAAATTCTCTTAGCATATTTGAAAGTTTTTTAAAAGCTAAATCCTGAGTCATTTAAAAACACATCATTAAACAATACTTTTTTATTCCCTATTGTGAGATTCTTATTGTCTTTAATTTATCAAAGAGAATGCTTACAATCAGAGATTTGCAAATATTATCATTAGGGAAAATCAGGGGAGAAACTATAGGACCTACTAGTACGTGTGTGTCTGTGTGTCTGCGTGTATGCGTGCACAACCTCCTATGAATGTATAGTTGTTTCAAAATAAAGAGAAAAAAAATCAGATATTTTTAAAAAGACTCCGAAAAAAGTTAGAACTTAGAGCCTTCAACACAAATTAATTTAGCCAACCAAATTCAAAGTATTACTTAAGAGAATAAATGTTTACAATCCCTGAATTCTTACAACATCAAAATAATAGTATATTAAATCCTAAACTTACTTTTTGGTGTAGGACCCAATTTAAATCCATGTTTCTTCAACTGATCTAAAACTGCTTTTCTATTTTCTTCTTTTCCCCAAAGACTCATATGCAGAGGCATGGTAAAAGCATTGTTTGCACCGAAAGGAACTACCCTATTGTTTTTAAGAAGGAAGAAAAGAAATTAAGTGTCATTTGTTTGCTTCCATTAAGAATCTGACTGTTAAATATTCCAAGTGCTGCATTCAAATTTTACAGGAATCTAAAATAGGGAGGAACTAGTTGGGCAGACTAGAAAAGACAGAAGAACAGAGAACAGAATCGACAACAATCAGAAGAAAAGGGTTGTTTTTAGGAAAAGAATGCCAGAAGAAACTAAGATGGGATAAAGTAGTGTTTAAATACAAGGACAGCCTATAAATAGTAAGTTTAATTGAAAGGGTAGAGCTTTCATTAACAGAACCACTGGGAGTAGCAACCTATTCTGAGAGAACGAGAAATGAGTTGCAAAAACTATTTCTGATCCACGATTCACTGTAAGTTTATTCTCAATATTTGAAAAACTTGATGAAAAGAAAGCAAGTACAGCAGTAAAGTGAGAAGACACTGCTAAGCATTTATCTTCCAAACTCACCTTTTCATATTCTAAACACTGCATAGTTAAATTGAGATCACAAACAGAAATGCCTAAAAGAGAAAAGGTAACTGAGGAAATGAGTTTAAAAAAAGGAAGAGGTTGCAGAACTGAGAGAGTGTATGCCCTGGCTAAAGCAATAGTTGTCTCTAGGCAGCAGGTAGTTAACTGATGGTATGTGGAAGGGAGGGTCCAGCATTACTAGATATTCACTTTGTCAAGAAAAATCTTCATAAATAGTTTTTATGTGTATGGAAAAAAATGATATGTATAAAATGTAGAATATCCAGGTATTTGAATATTGGGAAAAAATTGAAAAATTTTAAAACATTGTGTAAGCAAAATAAAACTCACCTACATCTGATCACAGGCTATCAGTTTACAACCTCTGATTAAAAGGTTGGAAGAGATGGTGTGAACTTACTAATATTTGAACCAGAGTCTGTTTTTCTCCATGTAATAATTCAAGAAGAAAGTGAGGAAATAACTGTTTGATGGCTAGAGTAGTAAAGGCAGATGAGAAAAGAATTAAAATATTTATTGAACACATACTAAAGATAGTGATAAAAGTTGTCAGGGAAACTATTCAGACTCAACAAATTCAAAGACCACTACGACTCAAAATTATTAAAACTAAACTCTGAAGTACATTACCCTTCGACTTGTGCCAATTTGTTGTCCATGATATAGGCCAATGCAGCTGCAAGATCTTTCTTTAAATGTCCAACCTGATTTCCATTCACATTGTTTACTTTAATCGCATTCTTATCATAGGGGTTATTAGGCTCTCGTTGTAATGCAACCATTTCGTTATTATTAACCTAATAAAAATAATGAATAGAGAACATTATAAATAATAAACATACAATAATTGCTTTCTTCATACTTTATCTGGAATTTCCATTCTTTTTTTAATGCTTACTGAATAACACTGCATATGAAAAATGTATATTTTCTCGGACTCACATTTCCACAAAATATTAAAGAATACAATGATTCTCTTATAGTTTTTTTCTTATTTACATGCATTGAGAAGTTAACAAATCCTTGATATCTAAACTTTACGATCAAAACTAAATAAGATTCACACTATTTAAAATGTTCAACATCATAACTTCTGAAAACAAGTAATCTTTATTGAGTGCTGACAAAGTATTCCAAGATATTACATAGACTGACTTTTTAAATCTCCAAAACCCTATCAGTAGGTACTATCATTATCCCCATTTTACAGATGAAGACACCAAAGCACAGAAAAGTAACTTGCCTAACGTCCTAAAGCTAATATATAGCAAAGCTAGGTTTTGAATCTAGGCAGTCTGGCTTGTAAGCCTGAATTCTCTAGACTCTAAAAGGGGAAAAAGGCATTAATTATAAATAGGAATGGAACTGGAATAAGAAAATTAATGAAGACTTCAACTCATGTCATTGATTCCATTTGATTAAAAATTACCTTAGACATTACTGAAAATGGAAGAGTAAGAATTTCTGAAAATTCTCTCCTCCATAAAAGCCCTGGAAAAACTGGCAAAAATTGTCAGAATCAATTTTTTCAGAACTTTGGAAACTAATGAAAGAATTGAAGAAATTCTTTGCGATTCTGGGGAGTGTTAATCAAAAAAAAAAAAAAAAAAAAGCTGAATATCTGTGCCCCAGTCCCATCGCCAGCTCTCAGCTACATGATAGCCTTTAAAAGTAACCTGCTGGGATTCTTGGTGCACCCTAGCAGTTAGGAGAGAACACAATGAAGCAGAATCTTTCAAGATTCATTCCTAAAGAACTGCCATTATTTGAGCTGTATGATGATTCCCTAGAAGATTCCCACTTGCAAAGATGTTTCTATTTAACCTGTGAGCTCACATAGTACAAAAACACTCTCTCTTGGGTGGGTGTTTGTCTAAAATAATTTTATAGGCAGTGGGCAAGAGCTGGGACAAAAAAATACAATAACCAAAAGGCTTAAAAGGAAGATCTGGGCAATAAAATACCTTTAGGGGCTCTGAACAGCTCCATATTACTGAGAATCTAGGTCATAGGCAAGTATAGGGCTATATGCATGCCCAGGGCTGTGCCTTTGTTCAGGAAAGGCCTGAGAAGGCCCTAAGCTCTCACTTCCTGCTTAACTTGAGGGTCTGATTTGTCAATTCTTCTATTCCCTCATTTTTCTTATGTTGAAGTTTTCTCAAATCATTTTTTTGGTTGTCTGAAGCATGTTCTGAAGGAGATTCCTTGGGAAAGAATTCCATGATATAGATTTGTCTAGTCTTTCGTTCTTCCATTTTTTCTTTATATTAGAGCTCCTATGATCATTTTGTGATTGGAAATGTGTTGAAATGTGTTATCTGATTCCTTAGGAAGGAACAGTATTTCCTAACTTTTTGTATATTCATAGTCGTGATGTTTAAACTTGAGTATAAACTTATGTTTATACTTGTGATGCTTGGCTGAATATAAAAAATTTTCTCTCCATAACATCTTGGTGTTTCATAAAATAAATTCTGATGCCAATATTTCTTTTCTATATAAGTTGAGACTTTTTTGCCTGTATAACAATAAGATATTTTTCCTTATCTTAGAAGTCCAATAGTCTCATTAAGGTATATCTTAGTGTGGACTATATAATAAAGTCGTTTTCATTTATTTCAGAAAATTTTCTTTGATTATAGTTTTAAATGTTTCCTTTGTTCCAAAGCTTGTTTTTCTTCAGGGACTCCACTTTATATATATTAGATCTCCTCTGCATATACATATGCCATATGTATACACCTATTAATGCCTCTGAAATCCTTTTGATCATATTTTTTCACTTCCCTGTTTTTCATCATTTATTTCCCTTACCATATTCACTTTTGTGTTCTTTTTTACTTTGGTCTTTAATTATGAAATAGTTTTTCTTTTCTAATTTTTTCCTGAAATGTCAGGTTCTTATTTCGTATTCACCTGTTTTCTAGCTCTCATATCCTTCTCTGAGCTTTCCTATTTCTGATTTGTGCTATTTTTTCAAAATGTACATTGTTTTCTAAATTACTTTAAACCATTGTGAAATATTAGATTATGGTTGTTATTGATCTTAGAACAATCACTATTTGTTGATCTTAGAATCAGTTCTGATTTTAATAAAAATGTGGGTTGATTAAAAGTAATTATCACTTAATTTTTTTATTTTTAAATGTATTATTTATTTTACAAGTAATACATGTTCATTATTTTTAAATGACTAAAAGAAAAATCATTAAATATCTCTAAAGTCTACCATTCAGAACCATAATTTATTCACTTTGTTATTTCTTCCAGTTTAATCTGTGAACATATGCATGTAAATTGAAATCATATAATACGTTAATAAAAATGAGATTGTATACCTATTGCAGTGATCATTTTTTTCTCTTAGTAAAATATTAGGACCAGTTTTTCACAAAAACACAAATCTGCATTGTATTTTTAATTTCCTTTTAAGAGACATTTTGGAGTAGATCACTATTATGAAAAAGTATAATAAAAGTTGAGGTATTTATCTTTGCATACTTATTATTTTCAACTTTTTTTCAGCTTTGAGATATTTTACATATGATAAAATGCACACGTTTTAAGTATATGATTCCAAGAGTTTTACAAAGATATATAATTACCATCCCAATCAAGATACAGATTGTTTCCATCGCCCCTGAAAGTTCTCTTCTATCCTGTTGGAATTATGTCTTCCTAACCCTGCCATGACGTCTGTGTTTTATCTTGATTTATTTTGTGCATCGTAAGTAAGGTATGTCCTAAGGTAACAGCCTAATATTGCTCATAAGGGGCAGAAGAGGAGAAAGCAATGGACTGACTTGGAAGTTACTGTGCAAATTTACAACACAATATCTGTGCTTTGGGGGAGAATCATTTAACCGTCCTGAGCTAGAAACAAGATAATAGATGTCTCATCTACCTCAGAGTCAATGTAGCAATCAAATGAGACCACACAGCAAAAAAGACCTTTGTATATTCTAAGAATGATACAAATGTAAAAGAATGTTAGTCATTAGATATTTGTTATCTTGCTCAGATATATTTCAATTGCTTAAAGGAAAAAAACTAACTGCACTTATCACCTCCTAATTCTTATTTTCTAGATTAATACCACGAATAGATCGCATTTTAACTTAATATCTAATGTTATACTCACTACTCCTGTGTAATAGCGTAGTCCAACTACATGACCTCTCAAAGTTCCAAATAAAATCGAATCTAGTTCTTCATCACTAGTTAGAAAGTCGTCTGGAGGGATAATATCTTGGAATTCAAAACGAGGAAAGAAAGTTGGATATGAAAGGCGTGTAAAATTTCCATGGGCTCCGTATTGGACAGTCTGCAAATACTTCCAAACAGGATCTCTATTTAAAAAAGGGGGGGAGGGGGCAGAGAAAAATAAATTAACCAAGTATTTCTCAAAGACCATACCATTCTTATAGGCCAAATGTTTTCTCTTTATTTCAACAAATTAAATCTTATGTGGGAATTGCTGTATAAGATTAATAGTTACTCTGGTTAAAGCAGGGATTGGAACGAGTGGGGGAGATTTCCAGGAACCCTACTGTTCAGTAATACATCTTCTACCCACGGGTATTAAAAATGAAAACCCCAGTAAGGATTTACAAATCTCTTTCCTAGTGATCACCTATTTAAATTGAAATGTATATGATGTCTGTAACTTTAATTATATGCCAAAATTTCGATAGATTGAGCTAGAAGAGACTTCCAAATATAGAATTACCATTATACGTGAAGCCGTTTATATCTTTACAGATAATACATCCAACAGCCATTAATTCCCTCCGAACGGAACCCTTATTTTATTCAGGTATCCAAACCATGCCATCATGGGAGGTTCACCTCACCTCCCACTCCCGCTGGTTTAAGGGTAACCTCAGTCCCCTTATGGATAAGTGTTTCAGGAACAGGCACGTAAACCAATTTGGACACTGAAAGGCAAGGGGAAGTCGCGGGCGTGTTGCGGGGGGGAGGGAGGTTCAGGAAGTTTCCACTCTAATAACAGATAGAAGGTAATTTCCTTGCGTTTTCCTTATACGTCGCGCATAGCTCTTTTGGCTCCTCTGCAAATATATATTTGCACGTCTGTGCATGCACATAAAACATGAGCTACCTGGGGACGAGGGCTGTCTTACTCAGCCCTTCATTCCGAATACAATGCCTAGAGCATGGTGGGTATGTAATAGGTGTTCTGTTAAAGAACAGGTCGCGATCCCCGCAAAGGAGTGGAGCCTTGCGCCCCCGGCCCTTCCCCTCAGCCCTCGACCCCAGCCCTTGACAGATTTCTCCAAAGCCTTGGCACGAGACTCGCCTGAGGAGCCTACCCATGCCAATCAAGATTATGCATTTATTTCTCCCGCGGATATATGAGCCACCAGCAAAACGAATACAAGCTGCACAAAACGCACGAGGAACGCGAAAAGAACGCGGGGAAGGTCAGGTTCATTTGGGGACGCCTCCAGGCCGTTACCCCTTGCGCCCCACCCCCTCTACCCCCTTCACCTCTTGAACATCCAAGACATGGCGCTGTGTGGGTGACAAGGGAAACGCTTGGGTGCTCAGGATCGTTCTCGAGCCGCCTCGATACGCCTCTTTCCAGGGCCTGCAGCCGAGAAGCCAAGGACACTTCACGAGCGCGGGAGGAACCACTGTAAGACGCCGCGACTCTCGTTAGACGACGACGCTGTCTCCTTCCAGCAACAATCTGAGCGATCACCGACGCTCTGTGACTAGCACTGGGAACGTCCAATCCTGAGGAGGAGCCTATGAGGACGAACCAATCAGGGCACGGAAGGGAGGGCAACTCCGCCCTGTGCAGCAATTCAAAGACTGTGGGCTGGGTCCAGGCTGCAGGGGCGGTTCCATCCGGGTTCTTCCCCGCCCCCGAGGCAGGCGCGCGCGAAAGCTGCGCTGCCTCAGCATCTCAACTGAGGTGCCCTCGGTGTCCGCGGTTTGTTTGATTCCGGGCCTCATAGGGCGACGACTCTCCTTCCTCTGTTTCCCCCAGACCCTAAGCCTCAGCCCCATTCTTTAGGCCTTACTTCATCCTGCTTCTAATTTTTTCCTCATCTGATGTGAACATGTAATGTCTTCCACTAAATAAACTCCGCGATTTACGAGCCGTGGAGGTACCAGCGAGATACTTTTCATTTCCTGTGGTTAACGCCAAGTAGTTGCCTTCAAAACATTCACTTTAAACCCCGCCGACGAATCTGTGAGAAGCTATGAGTTCAGAAGGGTTTAATTGGAATTTTGGCTTACGGAGTACCCCTCCATCCTTTTCTTTTTAAAGTTAAACTCTTGTCTAGTAGAAGAAGGCCACAAAATGCAATGACAGCACAACTAACTTGGTTGGTGATTGCCGGAGGTCATTGGCGGACTGGCTTCCCCTGAGGCACGCGGCTGCCCCAGGCGCCCTGAGTGTCTCCTCCAGTGGCTTTTGAGAATCTGAGGAAACTCAGGAGAACTGGGCTTTCGATGGGTTGGCAGGGCCTGTCTCTGGTAGCCCGTAAGAGGCTGCAGCTGGTTCAGCAAGCCTTTAACTGGTGCAGCAGCAGCACCAGGGTTTGGGAGCTGGTGGTGGCCTTGAAGTGTCCAATCTGAGGGTATGAGGGTAACTGTCAATAGAGTATTGCAGGATCAAAGAGGAAATGTATTTCTGAATGTGATAGATATTTGCCCTTCATAGAATGGTCCATTTTACATTGCCATCAGGAGCGTATGAGAGGTGACCTATGAAATAGTTTTTCAAGAGGCATTTGTTCATTATCTTAAACTATCATAATCTGTAAACATGAACCAGCAGTGGGATGAAAAATCAAATTTGCAGCAATTTATTCATTTTGCTAATCAGAAGGAAGATGAAGACAGTGACATTTTAAATTGTTTTAATTATTTCGCTTTCTTTTGGAAGTATTATGAGGCAAATAGCAATATAGTTCAATTTTGGGTGTGCCAGATTCTAAATAAGTTCTTAGAAAATATGACAGAAAATACCCAGATTGAAAATATTTTGTGTATAAAATTAATGAAGACGTGCTCATTAGACTGAAAGATAAAATCCAGATGTGAGAATACATGTAAACCTTTCAAAATTTAAGACATTCGTATAATGACTGTCCCATCATTATAGAATGCGGACTGAATGACATAAAAATTGGGGGTTTTTTGTCCATCTGGTCACTATCTTATATCTCAGATATAGCTGTTGAACACTCCTTTTCATTTAGTCATTCTTTATTATTTTTCTTTTAAAAAATGAAGTACAATTTGTACTAGTTCGATTAAAATATCATAACAGTTACAAATTCTGAAATACCACACTAGATAATGTTTTCTGAAAAATGAACACTTGTAACTGAAAAAAAAGAATGGGAACTGTAAGGTGGCTTGTGTGTTGGATTGATGTGTAAGGAGAGTGGCACTAAGAGAAAGGTGAGGAAGATAATGGCCAGATTACATAGAAATTTATGGTCTGTGGTAGAGTTTGTATTTTATTTTAAGTGCAATAGAAAGCCATTGAATATTTTAAACAGGAGAATGACGATCTGAATTAGGCTTTTAAAAAGTCACTCTGGCAGCTCTGTGGAGAATGGATTATAGGGAACAAGAACAGAAGCAAAAAGATTAGCTAGTTGATAATTAGGAAACAATCGTGTCCAGGTAAAAGACGATAATGGCTTGGAATGGGGAGGTGATGAAACTAAGAGAATCAGGGTTTACTTATGGATTTGGATATGGGTGCTGACAGTGGGGAAGGAATAAAAAATTCCTCCAGCCAGTCACTCCTCAGTCCCAAACACTCTATCATCCTTCCTCATTTTATACAAATTAATCATGTCACTCCTGTTTGATGCCGTGAGTATAAAATGAAAAAATGGTATGTGTGGTTCTTTATACTCTGTCCTCTACCTCCCACTCTTGTCACTTCCCACCCCACCCTGCCTATAATAGCCTTCATTAACTTCTCTAAAAATTATGAACGTTTTCATATATAACCATAAGGCCATTTTCACACCCAAGAAATTGAATAATAAATCAATCCTTGCTGTCTTCTAATAGATAATTCATAATCAAATGTTCACAGTGGTCTCAAAAAAATGTTCTTTTATAGTTTGTTAACAAAATAGAATTTGGAAGCCGTTGGTAGGGAAAAACATTTTAAGAGTCTGAATATTCAAAAATCTGGCTTCAATAAAAAACTTCCAAGTTTATATCAGAACTAATAGATTCTGGAAGAATATATGATCTATAAGAGCTTGTTTGTTTGCTTCCTTCACCCAAAAAGAGATAGACAAAGTTCAGTGGAGGAGGAGAATTTTTGCAGAGTAAATCTCTAAAGGAGTCTTAGGAAAAGGACCTGGAATGCCAACACCTTGGGCCAAGTGCCACAAGGAGGGGCACTTTGCAAGTGCCTAGCAAAGTTTCTGGAGATCCAAAAAGAAATGGAAGCTGTGCCTTGTTTTGCAGATCTTAGAGAGAGCCTCAGGGCAGTGAAGGATTAAAGGCTAATGAGGTGATTCTGTTAAGGAATCCAAGGACAGCCTTTCAAAATCCTACAAAAGTCCGCAGTGAGTCTCCAGCACTGTGAAGACGGGAGGCTTTCAATAGTTCATGGTTCTAGTAAGCAGAAGCAAGAGGCTGATGCCCAAAAATGAATGCAGGCCAAACATAAGAGCCCTAAAAGGTAATAAAAAGTGGACTGAATTTGAAACCTGAATTTAATTGACTTTAAATACTAAAATAACTGAACTACTTAGAAGTGACTATATTGCCCACTGGGCAAACTGAAGGTTTAAGACAAATTAAGTTCAATAAAGACTATAAAGTTTTATCTTTGCAAATAGAATCAGTGATTGAAATTAACACATGCTATATATCCATGTACACATACATCTCAAATAATTTATACTTAGATATTTATAGCAGATACCTCTAGCTGGCTAAAGTATTAGAGAATTTTCATTTTCTTCTTTTTGCTTATATGAATATAAAATGTTCTCTAAATTGAACATGTATTGCTTTTTTGCTATAAGAAATAATAAAAGATATAAAATAAATTATAGTAAAGAAATTATAATGTTTTTAATTTTGTTTAATTTTGTTTAAATTTTAGACTTACAGTAAAGTTGCAAAAGTAGTGCAAAAATTTCCCTCATATTTTTTACCCCTTTTATTTTAACATCATGCATAATCACAGTACAATTATCAAAATCAGGAAATTAACATTGATATAATACTATTTCTGAACGATGTAAAAAATAATTAAAGAAGACAAGGCAAAAAAAATAGAAAATAAAATATTTTGTGACTTATTTTTACAATTGAATTTTCTTACACTTAATCAGGATGCCCATATACTGAGGGGAAGATTCCTAGATACAACCACTGCTAATTTAGCAAAGGAAGTAATGTAAACTAAATGCCAAATCAAGTTCTTCTTAAATAATATAATGGCTATCAAGTACCTGGCTTGAAGTAAGCAATCTATAAATGCCCTTGTTACCATTCCTATTATTGTCATAATAGAGTTATCGAATGAGTCTTCTACCACTTAACAAGGAATATAGTTGGTTGAGGTTGATTTTCTGGTGCTCCTCAGCAGGGTTATTCCTAAATGCCAGAATAACACTGTTTTCAGAAACCAATCATTTTCCCAGGTACATGTCCTTGAAACAGACTGAATTGTTTCATCAAGAATGAGGAGACACTAGGATACCAACTCCCACTCTGAGTAATCTGTGGTGTTCCAGATTGCACAGGCCTTTCCCAGAAGATAATTGTTTCCTCCTCCTTTAGCCTTGGCTCACTAAGCACTCCTACACAGCAGAAGACCGGAGTTGCTGAAGCATCAAGCTGGCCTGGGATCTGCCCGCTTCTTTGCTTCCTGCCCAGGAACCTTTTCCCAGCTTCAGGAAAGTGCCACTCTGGGCCATGGAATTATTTAGGGTTCTTGACGTGGCCATGGCCAAAGTTCTTTTTATTTTAATAAGTATGCAAGAATTGGTGAATATTTTTCTGCCTCCTTTATGGCTAGAAAATTAAAAGACTAAAACTTTCAACTTCAAGTGTTTTGATATTATCAAAAACACTATTTTTTTTAATGTGAGAAGCTATATTGTATTAGCAAATCTGTTTTTAGTCATCACAATTTACCAAACTATTGCATCCTACAACCATACCTATGCTAATCGTAAAATTAAGTTTTAACTTGCCATTTAAAATAGTCCTTTAGAATGTTTTAAAAAGCTGCAAAAAATCAAACACATTTCTAAAATATGAAGAAAAAAGAAATAAGACTTTTAGAGGAATCCAATCTCTTTATCTAATAGAATTAGAAATTTCAAGAAGCTCAAGTTCATTAAACAGATGAAAGTTTTAGGATCAGAATACATTAATATCCTGCTTGAATTGTTAATTTTGTAATATTTACAAACAAAATTTCAGTTTCTCAAACATTTTTGAGCAAGGTATTGGATCAAAGAGAAATAGGGTAAGATGTACCCCCAGATGAACTTTAAAACATTGATGACCTGGGTTAGCACACTAAACATACAGCTGGCTGTAAATATTTCAAAAATCGAGCCTATCAGGAAATAGCAATATCAATATAAATTTGTGAAAAAAAAGATAAGTCAAAGGACAAGACATACCTTTTACCCATAAAATTCATATAGATTTTTGAAAAGGATGAGAAACATAGCTGCCTGGTTTTCTAAGAGGGACTCT